TTACGCGCCTTCTTAAAGTCGCGCTGCAGCGTCGTCACGAATGACACTCTATCGACATAAAAACTACAAGGCGTCGTCAGAATAAATACGTGGGCATAGGATATCGCGTTTAAACTCGGAATTTTTACGTTTCGGAACTTATATTTCTTACGCGCTTCTTAAAGTCGCGCTGCAGCGTCGTCACGAATGACACTCTATCGACATAAAAACTACAAGGCGTCGTCAGAATAAATACGTGGGCATAGGATATCGCGTTTAAACTCGGAATTTTTACGTTTCGGAACTTATATTTCTTCGCGCCTTCTTAAAGTCGCGCTGCAGCGTCGTCACGAATGACACTCTATCGACATAAAAACTACAAGGCGTCGTCAGAATAAATACGTGGGCATAGGATATCGCGTTTAAACTCGGAATTTTTACGTTTTGGAACTTGCAATTTTGACGCGGAAACATTAATGTCACGCTGCATCGTCGTCATGAATGACACTCTATCGAATTAAAAGTTACGGAACATCGATTACGTGCCGGGGCATAGGATATCGCGTTAGAAATCAAAAATTTTTATTTTCGAAACTCGCGATCTTTTTACGCCAATTTTAAAGAGGATGGATCGTCGCCAGTAATGACTCTGGGGAATCAAGAATTGCGAGACATCGTTAGATTTCGTGCGTGGGAATAGGCAATCGTGTTCGAACTGCAAAATTTTTATTTTTTTGCACCTATCAATTTCTCGCTTTTAATCTTAAAATGCGCTGAATCTTGGTCAAATAGCGATTGTGGAAGCACTGAAATCTTAACTTTCCAGCGAGACCAAGATCATCTTGCTACGATTATTCTGTGCGAAGACATCGACGATTATATTGAGTCCTGATCTCGACCTCGGGTCAAAATTAATTTTATTTTCAGAATTAATCAACGATATTTCATAAACTAATAATCCGAGATAAACGATTCTTATCTCGATAGAAGCGCTGAAATCTTATCTTTCCAACGATACCAGGTTCATCTCGCTACGATTTTTCTGTGCGAATAAATTGACGATTATATCGACTCGCGATCATAATCCCGAGACAAGTAGCAGACGGCTCGTATATGTGGCGTCTCGCGCGGTGTCTGGCGCGGCGGTGTTTACTATCGAACACCTGTGCCTCTTCTGTTTTGATGCCAGTTTTTTTATGTTCGCGTACTACTCGCGTAAAAACTCGCGCGACATTCTCAGAAGAATGGTGCGCGCGCGCCCGATTTTTAAACCGCTATAACTCGGCGAAAAATCGATGTAGCTAGATGAACCAAAAACCTATCTTCTTTGTTTCGCATCCCGCAGATGTCTATGTTGAATATGTATGCTTTTATCATAAAATGTGTGTCGGGGCATAGGAAATCGCGTTTAAACTACGAAATTTTTTATTTTTGGGACTTGCGATTTTCACGCGTCAACGTTAAAGTCGCGCTGCATCGTCGTCACGAATGATACTCTAGCAAATTAAAACTTGCGAGACATTGATAGATTTCGTGCCGGGGCATAGGATATCGCGTTTAAACTGCGAAATTTTGCGTTTCGGGACTTGTGATTTTTACGCGCCAACTTTAAAGTCGCGCTGCATCGTAATAATAATGACATTCTGTCAAATTAAAACTTACGAGACATCGATAGATTACGTGCCGGGGCATAGGATATCGCGTTAGAAATAAAAAAATTTTAATTTTTGAGACTCGCAATCTTTTTGCGCCAACCTTAAAGTGGATGGATCGTTGCCAGTAATGATTCTAGCGAATCAAGGATTGCGAGATATTGTTAAATTTCGAGCCTGGGAATAAGGCAATCGTGTACGAACTGCAAAATTTTAATTTTTCTGCAACTGTTAATATCTCGCGCGGAATCTCTAAAATGCGCTGCAATCGGGTCAAAACACGATTTTAGCGCTTTGACTGATAAGAAACATTGATAGAACTTGTGCCGGGGATAGGAATATCGCGTGAAAATTGCGAAATTCGCAAATTTTTACGTTTCGGTACTTGCAATTTTTACGCTGGAACATTAAAGTTACGCTGCATCGTTGTCATGAATGATACTCTAGCGAATTAAAACTTGCGAGACATTGATAGTTTTCGTGCCGGGGCATAGGATATCGCGTTTAAACTATGAAATAATTAATTTTCGGGACTTGCGATCTTTTTGCGCCAATCTTAAAGTGGATAGCATCGTCGTCGAGAATGACTTCAGCGCTTCGGGTGACACGAGTCTTGGATAGATTTCGTGCCGGGGCATAGGATATCGCGTTAGAAATGCAAAATTATTAATTTTCGGGACTTGCGATTAAGTGGCACCAATATTAAAGTTGACGTATCGTCGTCAGTAATGACTCTAGTGAATCAAGAATTGCGAGACATCGTTAGATTTCGTGCCTGAGAATAGGCAATCGTGTACGAACTGCAAAATTTTTATTTTTCTGCACCTGTCAATTTCTCGCGCGGAATCTTAATTAGCGCTTTGACTGATAAGAGACACTTATAGAACTCGTGCCGGGGAATAGGAATATTGCGTGAAAAATGCGGATTTCGGAAATTTTTACGTTTCGGGACTTGCGATTTTTACGCGCCAACCTTAAAATCACGCTGCATCGTCGTCAATAATGAGACTCGAGCGAATTAAAACTTGCGAGACATTGATTTCGTGCCGGGGCGGGTATCGCATTAGAAATGAAAAATTTTTTATTTTCGGGACCCGCGATGTTTTTGCGCCAACCTTAAAGTGGTTGGATGGTCGTCAGTAATGACCCTAGCGAATCAAGAATTGCGAGACAACGATCGAATTCGGGCCTGGCAATAGCAAAATTGTGTGCGAACTGCAATATTTTTAATTTTTGGGACTTGCGTTCTTTTTGCGCCAACAAGTTAATAAAAGTGTAAAAACTTAATTTTATCGCAAACAAAAGAGAACCGTCGATAAGAAATTGGCGTGGGCGGCGGAGGGCTTCTTTAGATTAACTTTTCTATTGTATGAAAGTTTAAGTTGGTCTAAAATAATCTTTTATGCGATAGATTTTCGTTTGCGCATTTACAGTACAATTTTTTTACTTTCAACTTTATCCTCTTATCGGCCGAGCGTTATCGACCGATGGGCAGACTGATCTATCCGTTTCGCGTGAGAAACGTTGTCAGCCCTGATATCTCGGCATCGGTCGAAAATATTTACTACGCGCCGGGCGATGCGTGGCGGGTGCACGCGTACCGAGTTGGATACAGCCGGGATTGTCCAGCAATCTTCTCTTCGGTAGACGAGATCGGATTACGTGTCGGCCCGAGAGGAGAGTTTACGTAGAGTCTTGCCGTTAGTCACTGTGTTTCGGATGCTGTCGCGCGCCCTGTGGTAAACAGCGGTGGGACACTCGTGCGTCGCGACGACGACAACGGCAGCGGCGGCGACGGCGACGACGGCGGGAACAGCAAAGAGCTCGCTGTCAGATCGTAACAAGCGCGCGGAGTCGTTTCCCTCGGGCGAGCATAAATGGCACTGCTATTCACCAGCATGTGGGACTCGACACTGCTCCTGAACACCCTAACCCCAAAATTCTACGTCGCCCTCACCGGTACGTCGTCCCTCATCTCCGGCCTGATCCTCATCTTCGAATGGTGGTACTTCAGGAAGTACGGCACCTCGTTCATCGAGCAGGTGTCGCTGAATCACATCTCGCCGTGGATCAGCGGCGGCGACAACGCCAACGATGGCAACGGTACGGGCCTCAGCGGCTCCGGTGGCTCTTCGAGCCACCAGAACGTGCCCGAGTGTAAGGTCTGGCGCAATCCAATCAATCTTTTCAGGGGCGCCGAGTATCAGAGATTTTACTGGGCCACCAACAAGGAGCCCCTCACGTACTACGACATGAACTTGTCCGCGCAGGATCATCAGACATTCTTTACCTGCGAAGGCGACACAGGTGCGGGTGCATCTTTATTTGTCCCACGAAGATTGATTTAGAAGTGTCTGTCATTGCCGTTCTGCTAAGTTTTCAGTTACTTTATTTGTATTTATATTTTTTGCTATACGAAGAATTTAAATCTGTAGTAAACTAGAAAGATTTGTAAGGATTTAGAGATGTTCGGTCTACTAAAGAAATCTATCCTTTTTACCCTTAAGTCACAAAATATTGAGGCGCTGATCCGATCTGATTCTTCTCCAACAGGTAAAGCGGAATATGAGATTATGCAGACAGCTTGGCGAGAGCGCAACCCGGTGGTGAGAATACAAGCTGCGCACAGTGCTCTCGATCGTAATCCTGATTGTGCACCAGCTTATATCCTTATCGCGGAGGAAGAGGTCACTACTATCGTCGAGGCGGAGAAGATTCTGAAACAGGCTCTGAAAGTGGCCGAGAACAATTACAGAAAGTCTCAGAATACCCAACACCAGGGCTCCATAGCCGAGGCGATACACAGACGGGATACGAATGTGTTGATTTACATCAAGAGAAGGCTAGCGATGTGCGCGCGGAAATTAGGGAAGCTCAAGGAAGCTGTGAAGATGTTTCGTGACCTCACGAAGGAGGTGCCGCCGATCATGAACGTATTGAATATCCACGAGAACCTGATCGAGACTCTGCTGGAGATGCAGGCGTACGCGGACGTGCAGGCCGTGCTGGCAAAGTACGACGACATCAGCCTGCCGAAATCGGCGACCATTTGCTACACGGCGGCGCTGCTGAAGGCGCGGCTGGTGGCGGACAAGTTCTCGCCTGATATCGCCAGCAAGCGCGGTCTGACCACCGCCGAGATGTCGGCGGTGGAGGCGATCCATCGGGCCGTGGAATTCAATCCTCATGTACCCAAGTATCTTCTGGAAATGAAGCCGCTGATTCTCCCGCCCGAGCACGTGCTGAAACGTGGTGACTCCGAGGCGATCGCGTACGCGTTCTTCCATCTGGCACATTGGAAGCAGATAGAGGGTGCACTAAATCTACTCCATTGTACTTGGGAGGGCACGTTCAGGATGTTGCCTTATCCACTTGAGCGCGGACACTTATTTTATCCGTATCCGACGTGCACCGAATGCGCCGATCGGGAGCTCCTGCCGTCATTCCACGACGTCAGCGTCTACCCGAAGAAGGAGCTGCCCTTCTTCATCCTCTTCACCGCCGGTCTGTGCTCGTTCACCGCGCTGTTGGCTCTGCTGACTCATCAATACCCGGACACTATGGGCGTAGTCGCCCGTTCGATGCTTGCCTGGTTCTGTCATCCGTTTTACTATCTTCTGGACAAACTGGCTATCTTGCCCTCTAACTTGTTGCAGCAACTCTCTAGAATATAAGCCTGTATTTCCATATGATCTCTATTAACTTAAAACTTATTGTGATACTCGCGATATACTTAAGCTGCTTTCCTTTTAGGAAACACAGCCGACAGTTTTGACACAAATCGACACACGTCGCTTCCCACTTAGAACTTGATTCAAATTCAATCAACACTCTTCGACTCTATTCGGTAATGGAGTCGGAGTGTGTTTTTGTTCGAAGAACATACTCGCTTTCTTTCGATGAAACCTTCTTTTAATATAATTTTTACCATTTAACTCGAGTGTATTAACCTGTGTCGATTTGTGTCTCCTTAACGGAAAGCAATCTTATTGTTTTATTTCTACCATTTCTGTAGGCGCCTCTATTGTATATGTACGTAAATGTGTGAAAGTTCCAATTCACAACTGTGTCGTGACCGATGTCGTAATATCTTGTAGCGACGATTGTGTTTATGTATCGTTAAGGTCGAATCTACGAAACGATGATGAACATATTAGTAATAAGAATTTCTAGACATCTTCGCGTTACGTGTTATATATCATTAAGTATAAATTAATAATAATATATATATGTCAAATACGAGATAAATGTAATATGTATAATATTGATATATTCTGTATATAGATATGTACGTATATACGTACATATACATATATATACATTATATATATTGTATGATACGATGTATCATTGAGCAATTACTACACTTCTCACGAACACCGAAAGGCGATTACCTAAACGTGTGCAAAGCGGCAGTTGGGTGCTAAATAAATTTTCTTTGTTTTATCGCATTCGTATTTATTCAATGATGGATATTATCAATAGCTTGTAATGAGGTGAAAGATCAAGGCAAATCAGAGATCTTGACGTTTCACGTGTCGACAGAACAGGAAGCAAGTTCGGGCACGTTCAGTCGACCGGGGGTGAGAGGGCTGTGACGTCCCCTTCGCGTATCCCTCCGCAATCATTCTTACACAGCATAACAATGAGAATGTTAAAGTCCCTCACATTAATCACACGTATATAATATATTATACAATTTTTACGAGAGCCCGCCGAGACTAAAAATAAGAGACAACCAATGTGTCGCAGTATCGACGGATAGTTTCGCATTCTCTCAATCATCCTGTAGTCGCATCCGATTTCTGGTCTGCCTGTCTATCATGAGACGGTTATGATAAGAGAAGAAGAGACAGAAGGAGAGCGAGAGGGAGAGAGAGAAAGATATAAGACACTTGGAAGTCAGAGGGCCCAGGTCTCTCTGGTACTCCGGGCTGGCTCCAGCCGTAACTTTGATTTTGCTTCGAACATTCATCCTCGATTAAATTCTTAACTGATACATTTATAATAAGGTGATAAAATTTGTCATTTTTTTTATATATATGTACACAATATCTCTTTATACTTTATCTATATATATCTATATAATTTACTTAAACGGACATACGTACGTAAAACGTCACGCGAGAAATTACGATTAAATAATTATCCTCCGTACACAGCTACGACACGCTCCTCGTATTCACGGCTATGGGAAGGGAAGGGGGAAGGAAGGGGGGAGGGAATGAATGTTTACGTAATATAAGAACATGTAAAAACTTTCAAATGTGATCCTTAAGATTCGGCTATAGTATAATGCTAAGTCCTTAATTCATACCGCGTGTACAATTAGATGTATTTATCGAAGAGTACTAATCTACGAAATAGGAAATATTTTGAGTATTCGCCTCCCGCGCTAATATCCGAGCCTATTCTTTTGTACGTAGCCTTCTCACGCACTCGCCGACGAATTGCGTTAGAATTCCCCCGGGGATGGAGATTCGCTGATTCTGCCCTACCGTTCAGTGGGCTCTACTTTTTTTTTTATTGCCGCGAATTACCTACGAAAGTCCACGCAGTGTTTCCTTTTTTTTCCTTTGCTATATGTACAAATTATAGATTGTCCGCTTCATGCTCAATCAGCTCCACGCTAAGATTGCCACGTTAACACGTCACTTCACTGTGTCTAGATTTGATCGGCTCCACCACGTTTCTCTACACAAATAAGGCACCTTTAACAAATTACGCTGTTTATATAAGCTACACTCGACTTTGCAGTTCAACGCGCTCAGTCAATGACGCCACGTTTGCGCTGCGGCGATAGCCAATTCGCAATTTGTCAATCGAGGCATACGTAAACAACAGCAGTCTTAATGTATCGAACGAAAAACGTTATATATAGTGGATATATGTAATCAACTGGATACCAAAATTCTCATAGATCATTTCCTTCTTTCATCTAATTTCTCAAACGACGATAAATATTTTTAACTTTCAACGAAGCGCTCACACTCCTCAACGTAAGTCACATGTTCTCTTAAGATATTCATATATTCCGTTCATCTATCCAAGTTCCTTAGTTTATCAAACATCGAGATCGCTTTGAATTCTGCTAAAAATATTTCGTATCGTTCTTGCCCGCCACGAAAGCAAGGAATAACGTCGAACTCAAACGAGAGCAATCTAGCCAAATTCTATACGTTTAGCCTAATCGAGGCTATCTACATGTTCAAGAAGAAAGCGGTCTTTCTCTAAAACGTCATTTGTGCTTGTGGAATGCTAGAAAACAGCGTTGCCCAATCGAAATTACAGCTCACGTGCTTAGAAAGAGAACTTTCCGTCTTTTTACCCCGCTATCGTGCAATTGTTATACGTAATTACAATTCATTAATTTTATTTACACATTGAAACTAATAAAAGCCGTTTCTCAAAATATAATACAATTTAAGCAAATATGTTCACCGAAGGATTGAAGGAAGGTCTCTAATGCCAATTAACAGCAATGCACAATTAAAAATCACATCTTGTTACGTTACCGCATTTTTATCGCAATTTACGGTTCGGGATTTCCCGACGTGGTAGATTGAATGTATGTTTACTGGCTGGCACGCGACCGCCGATTGGTCAACAGAGTTATTAAATGTACGCAAAAATTGTGGAACAGGTCCACAACACATATCAATAAATGTTCCTTCTTTTACAACGCGAAAGAGTTTTCAACCGAAACGCGATAAACAGAGAAGTTCGTTAATCTTGATATTAAAGAGTACCGTTTGCGAAATATTGATATCGATCATAGAGTTTAGTGGACCACGAGTGAATGCTGCCTTCGACCAAGTCCTCAACATGCCGACGCAATTGATCCTCCGTTAACGTGAGGTGGAACCTATTCTTGAGACCTTGAACAGTCGCCGCCCCACCACTGCGGAAGCACGGAAGCTGAGAGCCTATACGGGGAAAAAAATCGATGAGACCCCAGTGAGCTAGGCGGGTGGAAAGTTGACGCGAACGAGCGTACGTACGAGTCCCGCTACTTACCCGACAACATAATCTCAACGAGGTTAACTATTTTCTCCATGTGCTTCCGTGCCGCAATTAAGCCTTGAAGAATGAGGCTCTTAAATTCCTCGAAGAGCTTGGACTGATTGCCACCCATCACCTCGACAAATTCCGGCGTCAGTTTAAACGGGCTGGTCTCGAAGCCGAGATTTCGCGGCGAGGTCGACAGAATGAATCCAAAGTCTATGTGAATCAGGTGGCCGTCGCTGTGCAGCAGGATATTGCCATTGTGACGGTCTTTCACTTGAATGAGATAGCTGACCAGGCAATACGCGGCGCAGCTCTGAATGAAATTCCTCTGCGCCACTCGGAACGTCTCTGAGGTAGAAGAGCCGAACTCTCGTTCAAAGTATTGGAAAAGTGTTAATTGGCACTGCTTCTTCACTTGGTGGAGCGAGACGGTGTTCAAGATAGGCTCGATCAGACCACTGTCGTTGGATAGACACAGTATTCTGCGGATACAAAATCAAATTATCGTACCAAGAGCCAAATCATCGAATATTATAGCAAATTTAACATGTTGACAAAAAAAACAATGTATTGGTTAATAATTATTCTTTTACCGGAAGAGAGAGAAAGGGCACACTTTTCTTAGCGAGACGAAAATAAGTAACTTGCACTTACTTGTACGGCCGTACCCAAAGGGGCACTTGTTCATCTTGCCAAATCTTCTGTAACATTGAGAGCAATTGCGAAGCGAGAAGTTCTTGTCGGAGATCATCGCCGCATTTCACGATTACCGCAAGTAATCTCCAAGATGCCAAATGCCCATACGGACTGGAAGCTCTTATGCGTCGTTGCTTCTGCTCCCATGGCTCCTTGAGGACCGCCGCCGATGGGTCCTCAGGATCGTGGCTGAAAGTCGCGCTCGGTGTAGCTGCCATCTCACTTAATCGTCTCTTGATATCGCCCGGCACAAAGATCGGTTCCCTGCTGTCGGACGATTCTTGACTCAGTTGCGATATGGTGTCCCGATCTTTTGGCTTGCGAAGCTGCAAATACTGAACGGGAAGCGAATAGTTAGAAGAGCTAGGATATAAAGTCGAAGAGCTGGCGGCCGCTCGAATAAGATAACACACCTGCTGCGTGATCTCGTCGTCCTCCTGACTCCAACAGTCGTTAGGATCGTCATCGGGGAAATTAAATGCCACATCTGTATTCCTAACGGAATAGGGCGAGATATTTTTTACGGGAGTTTGTCGTACCGTCGAATTCTGTTGACTATCCGAGGTGGATATATTGGACTGCTCGCCGCCCGTCAAGTTCTCCTCAGACTTGGTGTGCCTCAGCGAACTGCCCATTATTTTCGTCGGCACGGGCGATGTATATAAATCCTCCACCTCTAATACCTCTACGTATATTATATAAGGTGCCTAGAATAGTACCAGCGCATAAAAGTTGACATTCAAATGACGGATTTTTATGCAGTTCTGAGAAAACAAAACGAAATATCTGTACCTTGTCCTTGCTGTTGAGAACGGCGGCGTATTGTGGTGGAACTCGCACGATATGATGCGGTATCGTGCTGTGCAGAGGAAGCCACACCCTCGCGGGGAGATTCAAATTAAGCGTATTGAGCTCTGCCACTAATTGAACGGTTTTACTTTCCTTTGTTGGGATAGTCCCGAGCAATTTACCAATTGATATTAGAGCTTGAATAAATTCGAATTCTGGCGCGAGTCGGGGTGCCTGCGGACGTACAAGATTCATATTAAAGCTTTAAACGCACGGGACTCGAATGCAGGCCTGCTGCTCTTTCAGGAGAATAACTCACATTGCAAACACAATCGGTCTTTTGGCCTCGCAAATCGTTCACCACACCTTGGCAGGAATAAAAGCAGGTACAGCCGTTGTCAAACGCTCGACCAGAGCTCAGGTCCCCAAGACTTACTTTACTTATTATACCTGTTGAAGAATACTCCATTGAATGATCATCAAAACAGTCGTTGTGAAAATGATTCTCGTGGTACGTGACGGATCGCTTTTTAAGAGCCGAACTTTTGGACGATTACCGGAATGACTACGGCGTATAGTCTGGAACAATCCAGTAGCGTCAGACTGAGATCTTTGGTGGGTTTTCTTGTTCGGCGACGTGAGATTTTGCGTCGAGGGCAATGGTGACGGCGCAGGAACTTGCAATCCACGCTGCTTTCGACCTTCGTTTCCCTTTGGCCTGAAACATTATGCGCGTTTAGAAATGTTTTGTCCTAAATTCACGTACAATGAGTCACTAATCTGCCAAAAATTTCTCGTTGCCTTTCTCCTTATCGATCCTACCTGAGTTCATCTGACAGGATAAGATTTTTCAATTTGGTCCCATGAGACTTCTTCTTTGACGGCAAATGAGCGTCAGAACTGTACGCGTCCAGCAGCCAGGCACACTTTAATGAGAAATCCGCTGACTGTCTACATCTGCAAGGCAGTTGGTTCGTTTAGTTTCAGCTCGTTCAAATCTTAGTGTCGGAAGTGATAAAATACGCAACCAAGCAATGTTCTAATTGCGCGAGTCCTATATTTACCTATAGACAAGATATGGATAAAGGACTTCTGTTACATCGTGAAGTTGTATGTACATCACAACTAACTGCGGTAAGTAAAAGTCCACGTCGTTATCCGGAAAACTGAACATCTTGTTACCTACAATACGTCACATTCATATTTATCGTGAAACGTACAGAGTGCAATTGGTACAAATTTTTATCCCGCATCCTTGTGTGGGGGGGGGGGGCATCCTTCTGAGGGAAAAGGATAGTATGAATTTATTTGGGTATCTATGTTTTTCTGACTCTCATGACTCACACCCACTAGAGAAAGATAGACGTCCAAATAAACTCGTACTATCCTTTTCCCTCAAGAGGATGCCTTAGGGCTACTGCCTCATAAGCAGTCTGATTAATATGCCTATGAAAGATTGGAAATCTATATTTGATGAGAGAAGAACACATCATTCGAGTGTGAAAAATGATGTAATTTTTATGTCAACTATACCTAGATAACTCTGAACGCCTGGTTCTTTGGAATTGAACAGATAAGATATAGCCATGGACATGTCGAATATTTGACTCTCGAAGAGCCGCAGCAGACAGCCTTCCGAGGGCTTTGGTTGCTTCGTTTCCTGCTTCTGCCGACGGACAAGGTCCGACTGCTTCTTCACCGTCTCGACTTCCTGCTGCTGCGTCGCAGTTGTGCCGCAGCAAAGGGTCATGGCCGCTCCTGTCAGCTCGCTCTGGCTCGTGTCGGCCGCGGGCGGCGGTGACGACACTTGCATAGCGTCTTGATAGTTGTCGACGCACTCCTGATGCTGATAGTCACGTTGACCGTCGCCGCCGCCGCGCTCTCGCACGTTCATGTTTGGCCGCGGCTCCTGCGAGCAACACTCGTCACCGTCGTTCGCGCCGTCGCACCGGGAACGGTCGTCGTCGGCTTCGTTCTTAGGGGACACGGGAGACGCCGGACTGTCACTGAGACGCGTGGACAGTTCCACAGGTGACACCGGCACCGACATCGACATCGACACTGACACCGCACCGGCACTGTTCTCCATACCGTCCACCGCGTCGACCGAGTACACGTCGCCCGGCTGCGACACGGACGAGTCGAGGCTCTCGCGGCTGTGCAGATGGTCCACGCTAGACTCGCGGGTCGCGGGCGCATTCGTGGCGTCACTCGAGCCGCTGTCGGAGCCACACAGGATGCCGGAGTCGTCGGAGCCGAGACTGGCCAGGTCCTCGCGTTCCCGCGCGGTGCGCGCGCTCTTTCCGCATGATCCCGAGGATGACGATGACGACGACGTCGTCGTCTTAGAGACCGACGAGGGCGTGGGATTCTCGCATTCCGGACTCGGCGTTACGTCCACCTCCGGGATTCGTTGCAGGGCGGAGTCCAGGCTCCGGTTCCTGTGATGGTGCGTCAGCGTCGTAGCGGTCGCCTGAGGCACCGGCGGTAGTAGGATACCCATTGATCTAAAATAATAACGTTACGATTAATAACCGAGGCACTTTTCTCGAGTTATACGATACGCCACACGGAGAGAATTTTCTCTTAAAATTTACCCTGAAAATCATGTAATCGCGGGACAGCAGCATGGTAACGATCATGGTAAAATTTTAGAGAACTCTCAGTTCTTCAAAATGCCGTGTTATGTTTCAAAATGCTATTTTATTAGTAAAATGTAGAGTAAAAAACTCTTTCAAAAAAACTCTCATAAAATTCTTCGAAATGCCGTGTCGTTCCACGATTACGTGATTTTCAGGATAAATTTTAAAGGAAAATTCTCTCTGTGTACGCAAACTGCTTCAGATTTTGCAAATGTATATATTTCATTTTTAACGCACACGATGAAGAAAAATAGAAAGTAGTACAGTTTTAGATCCTTTCGTAGAAATGTTTTTTTTTACACTTGAAGCGTGGTGTGAAAAATGTGCTACTTTTTTAATGCTTGAATGCATACTGCCTTTAAATTTGCTATATTGTTTCCAAATAATTAAACTATTTTGTTACATTGAAAAAAACGAAATGTCTATAAAACTAGGTATTTTTTAATTGTAAAAGCTTAGGCCCCAAAGAGATACAGGGTGTTCCAGGAGGAAAGGTCAATATTCTGGGAGGTAATAGTATCGGTCATTTTAAGCAAAAACGTTGATATGAATATATGTCCCAATCCCCACTGTTTCCGAGATAGAGCTACTTGAATGTCCCGTGTACTTTTTTCCTGTACACTTCACCCTTCGTCCAACCTCATAAACGTCTGCGGGAATTTACTCTTACACGTCTGTTGACTGTTGCGCTGATAACATTGTAAAAAATGCTCAAAATGCCTCGCATATTCACAAATGTCGAATATGCAGATGTGTTGTATGTTTAAGGTTTCTGTGATGGTAGTGCTGCCTGTGATGCTACTGCTGCTGTTGAAGAATACCGTCGACGCTTTCCTGCACGCAGAATTCCGAATCGTAAAGTGTTTTCCAAGGTTTTCAATACATTGCGTGAAAGTGGAACGCTTCCCAGTGTTCATGTTTTATCTGAACGAGGACGTCAACAAAATGTGCTCTATCTCGGAAACAGTGGGGAATGGGACGTATATTCGTATGAACATTCTTGCCTAAAATGACCGATACTTTCACTTTCACATCCCAGAATATTGGTATTTCATCCTGGAACACCCTGTATATAGTTATATTTATTAGATTTCTTCCCTATCTTAATATGTCAACTATCGGTATATATAATATTTGTTCCGCAGTCTCGTTCTGTATTCATTTAATATTAATCATGCAACTGTACTGTATTGTTTAATGCTTAGAACGTTGTCAGTTGTTGATACTTTTTCCCTCTTGTTTTGCGTAAAAGATTCTATATTTGATCACTTATCTATTAGACTTGTAAGCTACTTTTTTACAAGTACAAGTAGCATTTAAACTATTCCTATTGCCTTCTTTTCTCAACTGAGGAGAATTGCGTGCGGAAAGTGTCAACTAAGTAACTACAGCTCCCCAGCCCGGCGGCTGCGAGAGAGAGCGACCGAGGAAGAAAACAGATACGACCAGGCGCGGCGCGTGATTGCAATTACTCGTTACGATGATTATTAATATTGATGACGCCATCGCCGCCGCCAATTTAAATATCTCGGCTCGCATTCCTCCGATTTATATACGACGTAGTCTTCCACTCGTATCGTCGGTCGGACGTCGATCGCGTACGCGAGGCGAATTTACTTTATCGCCTTTATTCAACAAGTGCCAGGAAACGTTGGAGGCGCGCGCCAGACGCGTCGCAAATAGCCCTCGGCGCGCGTGTACGTCGCGGCGCGGCCTCGCGCCGCTCCGCGAGTATTCGCGTACGTTATACCTGAAGTCCAAACTGTGGTTTCGTTGATGCGTGGTCAGTCTGCTGCGTGGACTGATCGACGGATTCGGCCGACCGTGCACGAGAGGAACATTACAGCCGGCCAGCTTGTGCCGCTTGATGTGTGTCACGCTTTCCTGGCGCGTAGGTCCACCAGTCGGCGTCACCGCCACCACTTCGCTCATATTAGAGTCGAGTACGAGCACCGGCTCGGCTAACAGTCATCTGCTGGCCATGCTGGGGCTTCACCTGCGAAACGCGACAATCCTGGATCAGCGGCACCTCTTGCATCCCGAACGAGCGCTCGCCGGCAACGTCTTTATGTTAAAACGCAGGCGTTCTAGTTAATTAGATTAGGCGATAAAAACATGCAGGGAAAGCATTCTTGTTACGCGCACATCCATTACATTATATTTAATAGTCGTCGTGTAATACACTGTGAAGAAAAGTACGTAAAATTACGTATTGTACATGATGAGGGTACACGGAAAGGAAATTGTAGCCGTCGTAGATAAAAGCTGTACGTGGCAACGAGATTTCAGTTGTAAAATATGGACGGCTAATATTTAGTTGTGATAGCTGAATATTTTGCTGCTGTGCCTATTGTATTAGGTGCGACAGCAAACCGTTTGCTGTGGTTTAGAAATTTATGGTTATGGTAGCAAAATATTTTTGGCAAACCATGATTAGCTACGGTAGCGAAAAGTTTTTTGCAGTGTACATAATGAGCTATTACACTAGTAATAATGGAAATACATAAATTCAGGTACTTTGGCAAACATTTGTATTTTCTTTCCTCTTTGTTGTGTAAATGCTTGTTTATATTTGATAAAAAAAACTACAAAAAAATTGCAAATTTACAAAACTTACGAAATTAAAAGCCGTCTACTCATAATTTTACCTACGGGAGATCAATTTACTGACATATGTGAATATACACCTTTAATAGACGGTTCCAATTTTACCCACTATAATTGTTGTAATTTTACATGAAATCTTTACAGTGTAGGCTGCTTTCAGCAGAAAAAGCAGCTTCGCAACTGTTGTAAAAATCACAGATCTGACTGGCGTATACTGTTAATTGTGGCAGAATCTAAGAGCGTGCTTCAATCAAATTTACGAATTTTACAACAGTTGCAAAGCAGCTTTTTCTGCCGAACAAAGCCATTGTACTTCTTCGGTTACAATTTTAAAGCGCTCTTTAGATAATTATATCACGTTAAATTGTATGGCGACAATCGCGTCATGATAAATGGTGCTAATCAAGATTAAACGTAATTTGCGACGAGGGTCAGGTACGTAAAGCGAGCACGAGAAGAGATTTGTGCGGCCGTACGCGCGAGACGAGACGATATGTATTTCCGGTATCATCATTATTTTTGGGCGTACGAGAGCTGTGATAACGGCGGATGATATCAGTGCCGCGCGCATAACTGGAGCCGTGATGTCAACTGAGCTGATCGCTCGGGCACGAGGAGAGCACGCTCCGGCCGCGTTATCAGCCGAGACTGTCAAATACCGCGATAAGGAAAATCGGTATCTCGGATCGGGAACTCGTGTCGTATCTTTTAATTAACGCATACGACGGCGGACTCCGCGTTTTGCGCGCGCGCGCGATGCCGCGATACGTTGTGATTGGTTACGTAACGTCGCGGTATCGCGCCGCGAGAAATAAAAAGAACCCACGCCGGGAACGGCGGCTACGCGAAACCGAGCGGCCGGAAATCGCGCATCTGCCTGGAAGGTCAATCGCGCCGCTCTAGTGCCATAGATAAGACGCGGAATTGGAGTTTCCTTTCGAGAAATAAGAATTTCCGCGCAAACGTCGAGTCTCAAGCGCGCGGTGCCCGTTTAAACCGTTCCGAAAGCTGAGTTTTTTTTTCAGAAAGGAAGAGACTCGGAAAGCCCGAATTCTTGAAAAGTTCGCAGCTTCACGTTTCTCTGAATATGGGACGTGAGGCAGTCTGAGAGACAAATCTCTTTTCATGGAAGCTACCGAATTATTAATAGACGTTGTCGAAACTGATAGCTCGTTAATTGTAAGAATATGCGTTTTAGATGCGCGTGGGCGCGACAAATGGGAGAAAGGTCGGCGAAAGGTCGCCCGGATTCGTAACTGAATATGTCCGCGCCGCAACGGTAACGAATTGGAAAAAGTCACGATAGCGCAACACAGACGTGTAGAAAGTGCGCGGCTTTTTATCAATTCTAGAACTTTCTAGGATCTTCCTGGCGCGGTGTAGCGCGCACCGTTCCGCGCGCAATTATCCCGCGGGTAAATAAACGCGAGTACAAAAGACGATATTCCCGGGTTGGTTGCAAACAGTAGTTACACGCGAGAGAACAAGCGCCTCGCGGACGTGAAAACAAACTACCTCGCTCTGCGAACTTTTCTGCGACGAACGCGCGAATACATGTTACTTCGAAGCTGCGCTTGAAACGCGCTGACTTTTCGCAACTGCAAAAGTGAGTGAGAACAATAGAGTAAGGATTCTCGGTAATAGAACAGCTAAACTGGAGTTAGCTAAAGAGGGCAACGCCGATCTCGCTGCGTCGAGATAACGAATTAATTATTTAATTATTTAAATACTACACGGAGAGCATTTTCTCTTAAAATTTACCCTGAAAATCGTGTAATCGTGGGACAACACGGCATTTTAAAGAACTTTGTGAGTTTTTGGAGATTTTACCACTTTTACTAGTAAAATGTGTACTAAGTATAATTATTAGTAAAATGTATGGTAAAAACTTAGAAAGCTCTCATAAAGTTAGTCAAGAGAATTTTTTCGGCTATCTTGGTATTAGAATTAGGGAAGCGCTTGTCAGACAATATTATAAGATTGCATGATCAACTAAGTTAATAATGATGTTAATTTTATATTTAAGCGGATGATTAGAGAAAAGGTTTATGTATCTGCCTGAAAACGTGGGTTTTCGATACCAATTCGTTACAAGAATATCATTCTCTCTGAAAACTGTCGTGTGTAAGAAGTTGAAACATTTGTTCGATTCAATTTCGTATGTAATGTGAGTGAGTTCGCCTGTGGGAGTATCATAAAAATGTCATCTACATATCTAAGGAAACAAAGGAACACGAAAATCCAACATAAGTAAACAATGTGATTCCAAATCATCCATAACAATGATTTATTTATTTATATAATTTTAATTTCGAGAAATATTGAAAGTTTGAGTAACCACCTATATTACAGCTCGATTTAATTTTGGGCATTTGTCGATTATCAATATTTCAAGTACATAATCGTTTCGGCTCAAATTCGAGTCACCTTCATCTTTTCGTGACACCTTCTCGATCCTTCATATTTTGATATTTTAATGACCCGATACTCAATGATCCTTCAATTCTTTTTTCAAGTGAAAGTACGAGAACTCGTCGAACGAGCCGAGTCTCGCTGACGATGAGTTTCGCGGTCCATATGGAACGAATTTGAGGGACGCTGCCGAAGCTCACGGTGGTCAAAGCGTGAAAACACTAAACTCCGACGCTTTCGTGCAACGCTTCAAATTGCGCAAACGCGCCGTCGACGAAGCTAACCGCCTATTAACCGATGTCTCTTCAGCCGCGGGTCTAATCTCGCGTCGTCCGTCAAGAGTGACTAGCGTGGCCGCGTCTTCGGCTCCTCGACGTTCGCCAAAACGGCCACGCGAGCCACTCGGTCACGTGGCGATGAAACTGCGCGCGTGGTATTTGAAAAATTGCGGCGCGGGCGTCGCGATGCGGAACCGCGCGCGGTTTCTATCTCGACGCACGGATCGGTTGCGCGCGTTGCAAAATCCGCCGACTCGAAACCCGCGACACCATGCACGGTACCATGTGCTTTCACCGATCTGCTTCGGTGCCGGCGCGTATGCTCGGCGTTACGAGACGCGCTCGCGCCGAGCTCCAAAATCGCGACGTGCACGTCCACGTTCACGGTGGCGGGCGGTGTATCGATACCATCTGCCCGCGTTTGCTTGTCGCGGGACAATCTCGACTCTCGTAAAAACGTTGAGAGCGAATGTTGAACTCGCGTAAGAACGAACGTGGCAAAAATTAAGTAACAAAAGCGCTCGGAAGCCGTGCCAATATGTACAATCCACTGTTGCTTGTATTACACATTCCGGTTGATATTTGAACTGGCCCGTTCGACCGGTCCGTTCACTCGATACCGGATGTCGATACGTAACATCGCGGCGAATCGTTCGTATATCTTAATGGACGTTCGGTATCTATAATTATTACATTAAATTTTATAATCCGGTCTCGTTACAAGATTGCGGATACTTCGCGATAAAGGATTCAGGACCGATACCTTCATGTTTTCATCATTTCTACGTTATGTCAATCCGCGTGAAATTAACTCGGGCTAGATACGTTGTAATTGCAGCGCGCTTTTATTTGCCTCCTGGCGGGTATCCAAAGGAGAAATTTAATGTCTCACAGTTGAAAAATTATTCCTGAATCACGGCGCGATAGCCATCGACGTTGCACGGTCTTATCTTTTTCATCAGCATCGCGCTACATCAACGCTGCGCCAATAATACTCGAATAAAAAAAAAACACGCTTTTTTCTACCACGGTTATCCCCGCACGGTAAACGCAGAGGCGGACGTGAAACGCGGCACGCGAATTACGATGATCTAATCACTTCGATGATCTAATAATCGGCGTCGGTGACCGAGCGGCTTTGACGACTTTTTGAGCGCGCGATTACACGCGCGGGCGTTTTCGCGCGCGTGGGTGCGAGGCCCCGCGCTAGAAAGTCAAACGCGCGGTGGTCGAAACTCCGCGACTCCCGAGATTTCCCTTTGCGGGCAGGAGGCTTTTGCGAAGCTCTCCGAAAGACGTAACTCTTTCTATAATCAACGTCAGTGTTTTCTTGACCGTACCTGGCATTTTTAATGACACATAAAATTTATTGCGAAAAATATTACCTCAGCCAGTGTTTGAACCTGGACCTCCCTACGCCTCTAGGCGAGACGACCGCCCGGCTGAAGTAATATTTTTCGCAATAAATTTCCTGTATTATTAAAAATGTCAGGAATGGTCAAGGAAACACTGACGTTGTTATAATTATCGCTGGCGACATTGAAGAATTCTTATTAGTTGATTTTTCTATAATCAATTAAGAACTGTAGAGCTCTTCGGCAGGGGGGAGGCAACCGGAACTGCGCTCTTTTCAAATATTGAAAAAGTGGCTTCACAGAAGTTGCAACCGGCGTTCGCGGACCGAGCTAGTAGGGTCCCT